ATCACAAATGGTGTGTATTCCACACACATCAAACTCTTAATAAGTTAATAATATATTTTCTCCCCAAAAAATGCAACGTGTTAATTTATTTTTAACTATTTGTGTCAGTGACAGTTGATCTTGTCACCCCCTCACCATGAAGTAACTTTTTTTCATTTTTTGCAGTGTTACAAACACACCAGGAGAGGACAGCATTTTCCTGCTTATGCAGTATTTCCGTTCAATGGTCAACTCAGGTCTCATTTATTTAAATGTGTGTCAGTGACAAAATAAATCTCCAGAATTTCATCCGCTAAGTGATTTAACAAACATAATCCTTCCGCTCATATCTCTGTAATATCTAGTATCTCTGTTATTTCCTCAACACAAACTGTCACTGTATTCTGGTTAATGCAGTAATTGCTACATCGGATCCATTGACAGCTAAGTAACATAATCTGACAATAGCTGCGGGTGCATCCTAACTATGGAGTCGATCCTGAAGGATCCAGTGTGAAAAGGAAACCCTCAGGCCCAGTGACAATGCCAGTGTGAAAAGGCACTAAGATGCTTGGCATGGGAAACTGAGAGGAACGCTATCCCCGGTAAACTCTTCTAATTTCATTACTCTTCATGTTTCCTCAGCTTAGAGCCAATCGCATAGTTGGCTGCTCTCTAGCGGGGGTCACACATAACAGCCACTAAATTGTGACAGTGGCTCAGGCCAGCATACCTCAGTGCATAATCTTATTATCAGATCAATAACACAGCAACATTTGGTGCATAGCTGGGATGGCTGGCTTCTTCTCTGGTTGCACATTGCTGGCATTCACCACTCGTTCCCACTTTATAGGTGACAAAGTGTGAATGCAAGCAGGAATTCAAATGGAAGGCCTTTTAAATGAGAGCAGTCGCTCAGCGTATCCTTGATCACATCTGGCTGCTTTGAGGATTCACACAGCGGCTAAAATATCTGTACATTCTACGTAACATAGTACAGTGCTCTTTAAATTAGCACCAGCTCTGATACTACTCATAATATCGTGCAGGAAAAAAGTGAGGAGATTCAACAATGTATACCATAAAAATATTTATTGACATCACAATTCTCTTTGACACAAAAAAATGAGAAATGACACACAAAAAAAACATCCCAGAAATGTTTCAATATTCCACATTCAAAACATCTAAGAATGACAGAGAGATCAAGAACTAAAATGGAACAACATCATCAAATTGAAAGAGCACAATCTGTGAGGTGTCCAGTGCAAACAACTCCTCGTTTAACTGAACCAAATTTCTGATATGTTTTTGAGAATTAAAGAAATCTTTATTTTACAATAAAGATTCCTTCATAGATAAATGAGAAACTCCATCGACGACACAGGATGCTCCTCACCTCTGTCTTTAGAAAACATAATAAACTGAACCACAATCATTTCAGAACACTGGCCGAAACAAACATTTTAGAAATGCACATAAACACCAATAAATAGAAACACTTTATTTCAGACAGCAAAAATATATAATAACAACCCCCCCAAAAATAGGCATTATGATGACAGTCACAAAGCGCAAACCGCCATAATTGCCTCCCCTGTTTATCACTGCATGTTGCATTTGTCAAATGCAGATAAGTGGATGATGACGACCACTGTACCAACAAAAGAGCATGAGGCAGAGATAACCAGGGACGTTGGAGGGAATCCCTGCTCCCTGCTATTTATCCCCTAGTCCCTTCATTCATCCCCATTTCTCTCTGTCCTCTGTTAAAAGTCTGTTGTGATCCTGTCTTTCTCAGTCCAAACAGGTCACCGTGGATCGCACCTCGCCAAGGTCTGTGCCACACCGGCAGCGGCAGGAGAGAGCGAAGCTGTAGAGAGACGATCAAGAGGAAGCAACGGGACAGATTGTGGATGGTGACACTCTCCCTCTCTCTCTCTCTCTCTCTCTCTCTCTCTCTCTCTCTCTCTGCTTTATCTCCATGGTGCACACACGTCAACCTGGAGCAAGGCTGTGTACTGGCAGGGGAGGCCAGGAGCAGAGAGAAGGGGGTGGATGGACGGGGAAGCAGTGTGTGTGTGTGTGTGTGTGTGTGTGTGTGTGTGTGTGTGTGTTCGGTGGGGATAAAGGGACACGCTGCTTCAATAGCGGAGCAGGTCCAGGGACTAATTGGATCTGGTAATGGCTGGTCAATGTGACTGAAGGGCTCGTTAGAACCAGTACAGCTCCTTGCCTTTCTTGTGCTGCTGGAGGCCTGAGAAAAAAGGACAATGAAACAATGAGGACTGCGGTGTACAACAGAACACAGGTTGTCATGGAGTCTACTTTTGCCAAACATCCTGTTTAAGAGGACGGGGGGGAAGCTTGTGTGGTGATTATGATGTATTGTATGTGTCTGTGAACGTGTGTCTGCACACGTGTGGGAGTGTCAGGGCCTATTCAACACAATTGTATGCACAAGTTTCAAGGGTTGAAAGTTAATGCAGATATGTGCAGATGTGTGTGTGTGTGTGTGTGTTTTGAGTGAATGGATGCTACATGTGTTTTCTTTTATATCTGGGGTAAAGTGCTAGAGCAATTAAAAGTGGAAAAAAGCTGCTGAATGTTCTCATTATATCCCACACATTACACACATTACACAATACACACATACAGTACATGTGTTCCTCATATTGTTGTGGCCATAAATAATCTGATTTGTATTTGTCAACACCGAGTCTGAGGGTCTGTCTTTGCGTTTTATGATTTTTATATCTGCTCTGATGACAGACTGCTCATATACTGTGACACTGTTTGCAAAAGCTCAACAGGGTTGAGTGGGTACCTGCGTCCATGTTGAGTGCCAGCGTCTGGCTGACGTCTCCCGGGGGAAGCAGGCTTGGCCAGGAGGCGGCGGGTTCCAGCTTGCTCACTTCATAGTGGCTCGGCAAGGCCGGGAGGTGAGGTGGCCTCACGGTGGGCATCAGTAGGGGCCCGTAGTGAGGCTCCAAAGCCGCAGGTGCATAAAGTTCGTGGAGAGGCCTTGGTGGCCCGTAGGCCTGCGCTTGGGGGTATCCCCAGCTCTCTGGAGGGTGAGGATGGGAGTGAGGGTGAGGGTGAGGGTGAGCGTGCGGGTGAGGATGAGCGTGCGGATGAGGCAGGCCCGGGTGGAGCCCTGATGCATATGGGTCCATGGAATAGGAGGGCACTCCCGTCTCACAGTGGGAGCGGCTCTGTGGCGATGAGTAGTTACTGTCCCAGAAGGATGGGGGGAAGCTTCGTCGGCTGCTGGGTGAAGGGGTATCTAACGGGGAGAAGGAGAAGCAGAAAGGGGTCACAAACTGTGCGCAGTAAATCACTTGATTTATATGGAAAAAATTAAAGGCTGCTGAAGCTATGCGAGACGACAAGGAACCCGTGCTAAAGCGTAGATGTCACTCACATGACTGCAACACCCTCTGGCCCAGATATCTTCCCCATTGGATCATACTGTCACACAGCCCTAGCCCCAACAAGACACAGAAATAAACACAACAACGTTCTAGCAGACTGAGAGGGAGAGAGAGAGAGGGAGAGAGAGAGAGAGAGAAAGGTAGAAAGAGAGGCGTCCCTATATCCGACTATTCTATATAAGGCAGAGGCTGGGACCTGGAGTCAGACCAAAGCTCCCCGAGCCTTAAATCACTTGCTGTGGTGACATCTCTCACTCTCATGTCAGCCCAGTGCTTCTGAAAGTCTCACAACATACTCATGCACACACACACGTACTGAGACATGCAACTCCGGCCCCTGCGCTACCACCCGCCACCCCTCTCCTCTGTCTCCTGCACCCCCACCTGTTGTTTTCTCTGCCCCCCCTGCCCCCACTCCCCTCGCCCTTGACAGAATGTCAGGGAGCCATTATATGTTTTCAGAGGTACACTTTTATATTTAGGTATTCCTCTGAAAAGGGACACCACGCGGCACACTGGGAGCTAGTGTTTCCCTCTGTCGCCGTCACACAGACCGCAGCATATATGTCCAGCAGGCAGGCGGGAGTGACTGAGCTGGCCATTGTGGGGCAAGAGCTGGAGGGAGAGTCAGAATGGCAGCCGCAGAGATGTTTGAAGGGGATACGCCGGCGAGGCTGTGCGCTTACGGCCGTGTATAAACATAGCATCTGTTGTGAGGCAGAAGGTGTGTGTTGGTGCCGGAATGAAGACGTCCGACTGAACTAGGAAAGAGACTAACAGCGACAGCGGAGAGAGGGAGTAGGCCCTACATGGATATCCAGGGGACATCTGCAGTGTCCCATTAGAGTATTCGACTTTACTTATTTGCTTATACTTGCATTTTTTTTTTTTTATGCAATCAAACTGAAAGTTAAAACAAAAGAAAAAACTATAAATGTTGTTAATTCTAAGTGTTAATTGAAGCTTTTCAGAGAATTGTGGAATGGGATCGTGGTTTTTGCAACTAAGAAATTTTACAAAATCACAATAGGTGATGGATGAATCACAGCAGTGATGCCTAAACTCCAAGACCGAGACAACATAACCGCACAAAACTGTTCTCACAACATGCTCTCCCTCACTATCCTTTGAATCTTTAGCCCTTTTTTAAGTTCCTTTGATTGCCTGCAGCTCCTGACTTCTGTGACCCCTGTGCCCTGACCTCTCCAGGGACAACAGCTCCAACAAGCAGCCCCTTCTGTGCTGTCACCTGATCACATCACCTGTTCGACACTGCTGTGCTCTGCAGAACTATCAGCTCACCCAGTGTGGCCTCAAAAGCAAGCACAAGACGCCACAGAGAGAACAGCAGCCCCCTCCCATAAATCACATTATGAAACTGCTGGGATGTAGGAGAAAGGCTACTTATATCAGGCTTGCATGAGTGTTTGTGACATAAATTTGTGGTAAACATGGTAATAACATCAGCTTAACTGGTGAAATGACATTCAGATGGGAAAGCTAATGAATATATTGAATAATAATGAAGGTCTTAGTCTATTGCCCCCTCACTTGTGACTTTCCCTGAGGTTTCTGCGATTTTTACCTTGAAATGGGTTTTTATGTTCGTGTTTCCTAACATAAAGGTAGCGGGTTGAGGACAGAGGATGTCGCACCTTGTACAGATTGTTAAGGCCAATAAATTTGTTTATTTCTTTATTGGTAAAAGGATGTGCTCAAATTTGGGTCATTACATGCCTTAATGGCATGTAGCCAGCCCTCTACGCCATCTTGTTGTAATTTTGAACATGAGAAGTTCTTTCGATGTCTGTGAATGCTAGAGTGTGCACCCATATGTCAGTCTCTACTCATGCAGGTGATGAGGCGTACCTGTGCCCTGTTGGTCTGGCACCCTCCGCTTGCCCTCGCCATCCATGTAGGAGCTCAGGGCCCTGGAGAAGTGTTCGTCCACCACGGTGCTGATGTCCCCCTGGTAATAGGTGAAGAGGACGCAGCGGGAAGTCAGGTACTCTGCCTCGGAGCCCTCCTGCTTCTCCTTGCTCCCCTCCTCTGGCCTTGAAGCCGCAGGCGTGTAGGATGAAGCAGAGCTGGACGAAGATGAGGAGGAAGCTGATCCTCCATTGCCTGGGCCCCCAGACATCCCCTCGGGACCCCTGGGAGTGTCCATAAAGTCCCGGCAGTGAGAAGGAGTGCTGTTCAGACCTGTGGGAGCCTGTCAGTGTGTGTGTGTGTGTGTGTGTGTGTGTGTGTGTGTGTCAGTGTGTGTGTGTGTGGGGGGGGGGAGAGGGGGGGAGCAGGGACCGGGTTAAGACAGGTGTTGAAGAGGACACTGCTCTGGAGCTGACTTTCTCAGACACTTTGACATAATGTTTTTCTCTGTGTGTGGCATCACCGGCTCGCGCGCGCGCTTGCGTGTGCGTCAAGACACAGAGACTTCTTTGATTGGCACACACAAACAGCATCATTGCAAATGCACGTCTTCCTAATGATTCAATTGATTATTTACATTACAAATGTATAAAACGCATAACGAATTATCCATGCGTTTTTTTGGCTTTTACGCACATGATGCGTAAAGTGGCGCAATCGTTATTCCTGCACTTTATCGACACACATTTCCCACAGACACTGAACATCAGAGGAAACATCCCGGTAACACTTGCTCACTTCCTACCTGAAAGCTGTTGAAAAAAGCAGGAGCAGTCGATGCGTACGGTGCGTAATGTCCATAGGCTGGGTACATAACAT